CCAGAGTCGGCGCCTCCCGTCGTGCCCCAAGCGGCGGTGCCTCCCATCGCGCCCCAAGCGTCGGTGCTTCCCGTCGTGCCCCCAGAGTCGGCACCTCCCGTCGTGCCCCAAGCAGTGGTGCCTTCCGTCGCGCCCCCAGAGTCGGCGCCTCCCGTCGCGTCTCCATCAGCCGCGCCTCCCTTCGCGCCTCCAGAGTCGGCGCCTCCCATTGCGCCCCAAGCGGCAGGGCCTTCCATCGTGTCCCCAGCGGCTGCGCCTCCCATTGCCTTTCCAGCGGCTGCACCTCCCGTCGCCGCTCCAGCGGCTGCACCTCCCGCCGCCTCTCCAGAGCCGGCGCCTCCCGTTGCAGCTCCAGAGCCGGCGCCTCCCGTAGCGTCTACTGTCCCGTCCCCCGCAGTGTCACTCACGGTGACACCGTCAGTTGCACGACGCAAATACCTTGGCTCGTGTCCGGCACCTGAAGATGGGCTGGTGCACCTGGACTCGGATGACGATGAAGAAGGTGAGGCTGCAGCGCCAATCGGCGTTTCCATGGACGATCTGGAGGAAGAAGAGCAACGCGAGCTTGCGAAGTCCGCGGCTGACAAGCAGCCTATACGCCACGATTCTAAACGCAATCCCAAGGCAGCTGTTACGCCTGACGCGGTGTCTTCCCGCAAGTCCAATCGTGTCCGCCGAGCGTCAACAAAACTCGCGAGTTCCGAAGGCAGCGAACTGGATACGACGCTTCCGATCGACAAACTCGTCGCTCAAGTGGAAGCAGACGACAGCCTGCCGGAATATTTCAAGTCTGCGGTGAGGTTTATAGGATCCCAAGACTACGGCCATCACCCGGAATTTCTGCGAATGCTGAAGGCATTCATCGTATTTGAAGCTAAAGCTCAATTCGTCGTACGGAACGTGAGTGTCAATACGTTACTTGCTTAATCCACAGTCCTGATTCATTCACCTAGACCCGTACTAAGATCACGAATCGGCCGGATATCATCAAAACATGGATGACGGGCCAGAGTCGTGACTTCAATAACATGAAGTCAGGCGATCCCGTTGGAGACATAGTGGGGTGGTTCTCATGGTGGGCAACACTTCAGCCAAAGTGGCGAGGAGCCACTATGCCTCATTCTCACAATCCTCCGCTGCGCGCCAAATATCCCGAGTTGAAGAATGGTCCCCTCGGCGTCGTCACCATTGTCGCTTCTCTCGTTGCCCTTTACTGTTCCACCGAGATGCACAGCCTGCGCCAGAAGCTAGCCGCAGGCGCCCAAGATGTGTGCTGGACTCTGACGATTGCTGCAACGGGCATACCCCCGATCATCGACGTGGAGAGCGAGAACCAGCCTCCCCGCAAGTAAGTACAAATGATCGTTTCAAACACGCGCAAAATACGTAGAGTTTGTACTTCCAGAGCCTCCTACTTGTAATGGTTGTCGGCGATATAGCTTACCTTACCCCGTAATGAGCGAACGATGCTAAAATATTGGATTCGAGCGCGGCGTCCGCTGTGGTTTATCTAGAAGAGGGCTCACACGTACCGAGCTTCACGGCTTGAAACCCTCCGGGGATGCTGCTGGCGTATCTGGCCGAGGTATAATCAGGCCCTCCTCGTGCTCCAGCTGGAGTTTATCTTGGAGACAGCGCCGGTGCGCTGACGTCTGCGGTGGGAAACCTTGTCGAGATTGTTGCTGGGGTATGTAGCCGAGATCAGATTCGAGCGCATGTTCTGCTCAACTTGCGCATCAGCTGGAGTTTCTCGAAAAGGGGGTGCACTCGTACCGAGCTTCATGGCTTGAAACCTTCTCGGGATGGTGCTGGCATATCTTGCTGAGATTGCGTCGGGCCCGCCGTGTGCCCTCCTCGTGCTCCAGCTGAAGTTTATCTTGGAGACGGCGCCGGTGCGCTGATGTCTGCGATGGGAGACCTTGTCGAGATTGTTGCTGGGGTATGTAGCCGAGATCAGATTTGAACACGTGTTCTGCCTGACTCGCGCATCAGCTGGAGTTTATCGAAAAGGGGGTGCACTCGTACCGAGCTTCACGGCTTGAAACCTCCTCGTGATCTTGCTGGCGTATCTGGACGAGGGCTAATCGAGCCCGCGTCGGGTCCTAATCGTGCTCCAACTGGAGTATATCTTGGAGAGGGCACGGGAGTGCCAGCGTTCACGGTGGGAGACCTGATCAAAACATTGCTGAGGTATGTAGTCGAGGTCGAATTCGAGCGCGTGTTCTGCCCGACTCGTGCATCAGCTGGAGTTTATCAAGGAGAGGGCGCACACGTACCTAGCTTCACGGCTTGAAACCTCCTCGTGATCTTGCTGGCGTATCTGGACAAGGGCTAATCGAGCCCGCGTCGGGTCCTATTCGTGCTCCAGCTGGAGTATATCTTGGAGAGGGCGTGGGAGTGCCAGCGTTCACAGTGGGAGACCTGATCAAAACGTTGCTGAGGTATGTAGTCGAGGTCGAATTCGAGCGCGTGTTCTGCCAGACTCGTGCATCAGCCAGAGTTTATCAAGGAGAGAGCGCACACGTACCTAGCTTCACGGCTTGAAACTTCCTCGTGATCTTGCTGGCGTATCTGGACGAGGGCTAATCGAGCCCGCGTCGGGTCCTATTCGTGCTCCAGCTGGAGTATATCTTGAAGAGGGCGCGGGAGTGCAAGCGTTCACGGTGGGATACCTGATCGAAACGTTGCTGAGGTATGTAGTCGAGGTCGAATTCGAGCGCGTGTTCTGCCCGACTCGCGCATCAGCCGGAGTTTATCAAAGAGAGGGCGCACACGTACCGAAATTCACGGCCTGAAACATTCCTGAGATCTTGCTGGTGTATCTGCCCAAGGTCTTATCGGGCCCGCGGCGTGCTCTATTTGTGCTCCAGCCGGGATTTATGCTGTAGAAGACGCAAGACTGTCGGCGTTCACGGTGGAATATCTTATCGGGAATGTCTCCAAAATATATGACGCGCGTTCAGCGCTCCTCGTGCATCAGCTGGAGTTCCTCACGGAGAGGGAGCAGGCGTACTGCAATGTTCGAGTTTGGAGACATTCCTGGAATATATGGCTAATCACACAGGGCCTGTTCCCCCCTTATGCTCCAGCTGAGGTATATCAGGAGAACGCGTGGCATGCTGACGTTCACGGCGTGATGATATTGCTGGGGTATCTAGACAAGGTCATGCATATGATCAAAAGCGGGTGGTCGGTGGCGCGAGGATGAGGGAAGACGTGTGCTGGAATTTATTGCCGAGGTCGTACTGACATAGCAGCTACACGTGCTATTGCTGCAGTTTGTGATCAAGATCGCGTAGCACTATCAGATTGTCTTCCTACGTACTACCGGGGGTTTATGGTCATGGTCCAGCAGCCCGTGCATCAGCTCCTGTTACTGGAGTTTGTGGCTGAGGACTGGGCGGCGTGAGTACCGATGGCCTGCATTCACCCGACGTTGCTACCCGACGTTGCTGAAATATGTTTCGATGCCTGGTTATCGCATTGATTTAGGGGTACGTGCCTTGTGTCGTGTAAGTGTTCATGGGATGAGGGGGTGGGTATCTGACGTACATCAATCATGACGGTCTTTTCCTGTCCGTCTCAACGTCTGAACTCCCAGTTTTCTGTCTTTAGATTGCCGATAGCAGCAGCGCGAGCGATTACGAACCTCCCATAGAGAGATCGTCGAATCGCCGCAGTATATACAGCCGAACTGACTGAAGATTGTAGTGGCATGTGCTGAGTAAGAGCAAGAGTTTATCACGTACCCTCGTGCTCTCATGTAGCCGTGGTTTATGCTGCATGAGGACGCGCGTGCGCGAGTCCTGATGCTAATGCTGTGATTTGTTTCTGAGACACGGGCCAAGTGGTTGCAGGCGATTTGTGCATCAGGTTTTGGTTCCAACAGCTGTAGATTATACAAGAGGTACGGTCACTAGCATTGCATAGGGTCCGTCGCACCGGCACCCATTTTGGCGTCTTCGACAAACGCGAGATTGACGTCGCCCGCTTCGCGTGGAGGCGGCGCAGACGGTAATCTTGGTCCCGGACGAGGAGCTAGGGAAGAGCCGTTTGAATCAAAGCAACGGGACCAACGACGACGACGACGACCGGAAAGAGAGCGATGAGCAGCAGGGCGTGCAGGTGGGGAATCGCCAGGTCGGACTTGTGAGGGGCTGCTGCCGCCGGCGTCATTTACGAAGATAATGGTACCTAATCCTGTTTTGAACGCGAACTCATGACTTATGACTTCTCAAGCTTAGACCACGAGGTTCCTTGCATTCCAGATTATAATACAAGTACTGTATGAGCATCGTCAGTATATTTTACATAAGCAAATGCTTCTAGGTTCGATTCAGAACACCTCTCTTTCGGATGGTCAAAAACCGATCACCGCCACACTGTCAGTGCCACTACGCTTCTCGTTCCTCTTACGTTTCTGATCGACAGTGTGTAACTCGTACACCCTCGAACTGGCGAAACGGGCGGCTACAAACTGCGGCCCGTGCATAGGAGCATACACCGCAAATCGACAAAAATGGGGCGCGTTTTATTCCTCCGGTTATCCTGTTCAAGCCGTTGCCCCAGCGGGCAGAAGAAGGTCGAATCCCGGCGCTGATGAGTACGGTACGACAGCTCTATCCGCATCAGGTCGGTATGCTATCGAACAAGGACTCCACCGCCTCAAACCTTCGTTCATAGCCCCATTGCCATGCACTATCCGCCTGTAGCCCCATATTATAACTCCGTTGTCTGTTGGACCCGTTCAACTTTCCCCCGTACCCCCGCCATACCTCCTCTCGTCATACCTCGTCTGTCCGTGATGAATGCCCATGAAGAGCAGAGAGGGGAGAGGATTGATCGGGCGCTCGAGAGCGGAAAGACGTTCTTGTCCGTGCTGGAGATCCTGACCGACGGCGTCATCGTCTGCGAACCCCTCAACGTCGCCGTCAAGCTCTCGAAGGGACTGCTCGAGGCCGTCGAGGTCTGTCCTGTGATAGTTTGCATGTCGATGACGCGACTCTGATGCACCGCTGCAGAAAGCCCGGAAGAACCGACGGGACTGCAAGGACCTCGCCCACGACATGTTCAAGTTGATGTTCATCGTCGTGGAGGTGTTGAAGGGGAAGACTGACGCAGAAATACCCACGCGTCTCAAGCTTCGTCTGAAAGATTTGACCGAGTACGTCGTACGGCTCTACAGTTGAGAACTTCCTCATGTTATACAATTCCTCGCTAGCGTTCTGCTGAAAGTTAAAGACGGTCTTGAGCAACTCAATCTCAAGAAAAACTTCTCGTTCGTATCGCTGTGCAAGGCGCTTCTGAGGCGTAACTTAGTGGCGGAGGAGATCTCGGTGTATCGAAATCAGATCAATATGTGTCTACAACGTTTTCAGGTGCGATCGTTCATGTTGCAGTGAGAACATGATCTCATCATCCATCCAATGCAGTTCGCCGTGACCAACCGTTTTATCCTGGATCAGCATGCAGGTTTTGCGAGGCTCGAGGACATGATCCGTAACGATGGCAGGAACATCGACACATCTCCGGTTAGCTCTCTTCCTTTCCAGCGCTTTATCTTGGATCAGCATGCAGGTTTTGCGAGGCTCGAGGACATGATCCGTAACGATGGCAGGAACATCGACACATCTCCGGTTAGCTCTCTTCCTTTCGAGCGCTTTATCTCGTTCATTGATCATCCCCCTGCTTCGCAGTCCACCGCCCCCGTCCTGCCGAAGTCAGTTGCCCAGTTGACGTTCCTTTGTTCGCATCTGACGGCTTCTTCCAGCCTTCCCATATCGTCCGTCAAGCCTCCGCGTTACTTCTTCGGACGGGATGACCTCGTGAACGACCTCGTCGGCAAACTCGCCGGGACCACCCAGCATCACGTCGCCCTTCTCGGCACTGGTGGCATCGGAAAGACTTCCGTCGCGCAGGCCGTCATAGACCACGAAACCATCAAGTCAAAGCATCGCTGTTCCTTCATCCGCTGCGATCCCATCCTCACCGCCCCGTCCCTCGTTCTCGCCATCCTTCAGGGTATCACAGGCAGCAACGCTTCGCAAAACGGCGATCTGATCGCCCAACTCGAATCGACCTTGCGAGCTGCCGGCCCGGTCATCCTCGTCCTGGACAATTTCGAGAGTCCGTGGGATGCTGGAGGGACTCGAGGGGATCTCGGCGACGTGCTCCGCACGCTGACCGCGTTGCCGAACGTGCAGTTGATATTGACCATGCGAGGTGATTCCCCGCCAGCAAAGGGCAAGGTTCATTGGTTGCCCGTATCTCTCGAACCTTTGTCGTCTAGCTCTGCAAGACAGCTGTTCCTGTCGGTGAATCCCGATACCCCGGAAGACGAGCATCGCGACCTCGATCGCCTCCTCGAGCAGTGCGGCGGCCTACCTCTAGCCGTCAATCTGCTGGCCAACGTGAAGGGGCCGTTCGCTTGCTCCATCCTCCTTCAGCAATGGGAGAAGCGGTTCCCTTCCTTGCTCAAGGATGAGCACCAGTCGCCGACACGTCTCACCAGTCTAGACGTATCCATTTCTTTGTCCCTCAATTCTGCGGCGATGAAAAGTGTTCCGGAAGCGAAGGAACTGTTGGCGGTGATTTGCCGGCTCCCCGATGGCATACAAGGCGGGGTTCAGCAGCTCATTGACATGGACCTCGGGCTGGAAGACGTCGTTGGCGTTCTTGCGGTGATACTTTCAGCTGCCTTGGCATTCAGCAGTTCCGACGGCAGCATCCATGTGCTGTCGCCCATTCGTCAATACGTCATGGCACATCACGTCCTTGCGAAACCACAGTCGGAAGCACTGGTGCGTTATTACGTTGATCTGGTCAACGAACACGCCGACAAAGAGCCTGGGGACGATGGGTTCAAGCGTGCCTACGACATTCTCACGCCCGAGATGGGCAACATCATCTTCCTGTTCAAGAAGGAACTCAACCCGAACAAGGGCAATTTTAAGGCGATCGCTCGGGCAGCTTTCAAGTTCACCGCTTTTCAATACTGGTCCCGGCCCTCGACCGAGCTCATTGATGTATTGCTAGGGGATTGGCGAGACGATGATACGGGCGCTTCACATGCTGACAGCTTGACTAGCCGGGCAGAGCTGTTGATGGGGATGAACAAGTATCTGCCCGCGCAAAATGACTTTGACGCTGCCCTACAGGAGTCTACCCTGGCCGGCGATCAAGCGGCAGTGGCACGTTGTCAGCAAAGTTTGGGCGAGATCCATCGCATGCGCAACGAGCACGACCAGGCGATCGAGAAGCTCACTCGTGCGTTCGAGGTGCTCTCCGAGATCGGAGACCTGCTCAGGGCAGCGCAATGCCAGCAAAGCTTGGGCAACATCCATCTCATGCGCTACGAGCACGACCGGGCGATCGAGAAGCTCACTCGGGCTCTCGAGGTGCTCTCCGAGATCGGAGACCGGCTCGGGGCAGCGCAATGCCAGCGCAGCTTGGGCGACATCCATAGCTACTGCCACGAATACGACCAGGCGATCGAGAAGCTTACTCGGGCTCTCGAGGTGTTCTCCGAGATCGGAGACCGGCTCGGGGTAGCGCAATGCCAGCAAAGCTTGGGCAACATCCATCGCATGCGCGACGAGCACGACCAGGCGATCGAGAAGCTCACTCGAGCTCTCGAGGTGTTCTCCGAGATCGGAGACCGGCTCGGGGCAGCGCAATGCCAGCAAAGCTTGGGCAACATCCATCTCATGCGCCACGAGCACGACCGGGCGATCGAGAAGCTCACTTGGGCTCTCGAGGTGTTCTCCGAGATCGGAGACCGGCTCGGGGCAGTGCAATGCCAGCAAAGCTTGGGCGACATCCATAGCTTCCGCCACGAGTACGACCAGGCGATCGAGAAGCTCACTCAGGCTCTCGCGGTGTTCTCCGAGATCGGAGACCGGCTCGGGGCAGCGCAATGCCAGCAAAGCTTGGGCGACATCCATCACATGCACAACGAATACGACCAGGCGATAGAGAAGCTTACTCGGGCTCTCGAGGTGTTCTCCGAGATCGGAGACCGGCTTGGGGCAGCGCAATGCCAGCAAAGCTTGGGCAACATCCATCACATGCGCCACGAGCACGACCGGGCAATCGAGAAGCTCACTCGGGCTCTCGAGGTGTTCTCCGAGATCGGAGACCGGCTCGGGGCAGCGCAATGCCAGCAAAGCTTGGGCGACATCTACAGAATCAATCACCAATATCATGCGGCCAGAAGTAATATTAACAATGCCCTCCAACTTGCTACAGACATTGGAGATCGCTACGAGATTGCGTGGTGTCGTATTTCCATGGGCCTGCTTGACCGTGATTCACAAAACTTCACTGAGGCCGTCGAAAACATCGAGGCCGCTCGATCGCTGCTGGAGGAGATTGGAGAGAAGGGTAACACAGAGTATTGTTCGAAACTCCTGCTTGAGATGCAGAACACTGCGGTAAGAGTCTCACTCTTGCAGGATTTCATTGCTCATCTGCTCTGTAGGGCCCCTGATGCAAAAGGTTCCGATCAACCAACTGATGGCGTAGGATCACATGAAACTGCGTAGTCCTCTAATGCCCCTTGTTATCTAGCACGACATTGCTCCACATCTTAATTCCACTCTGTTCGATCTGTTGCCTAAGCGTGTCTCGGGGATGACCGGTGCGCCAGTATTACAAGGGGGTCGTACGTGAGCAGACAACTTCTGCTTCTCCTCTCTATTTCGTGTGTGGCGGTTTCCAGGTATGTGGACAAGCAGGGCAGACAGCACGGACACGAGACCCAGACCAGAATGGAGGAAAACAGGAGGCAAGATCAAAAGGCGACAGGATAGAACGAATGAGGGGCAAGCCGGAATATTGCATGGGCATTGGGCAGGCGAAACATGCTCGTGCGGGTAGGCGAGACGTGCAGGAGCGCGGTACGTAGTGGCGAGGGGTAGTAGACCGAGCTCGTTTGGTGTGGGCAACCGACGCGGATGGGGACGGGAAAGGAGGTGGACCTACGGAGGCGGTACCCGGATTGCTATCGCGGACTAAGGCGTGCTGGGCGCCGAGAGGCGCCGGAGAGTCGGTCAAAGTTGGGGGCAAGATAAGCTTCACCTGAGACTGGGTAAGGAAGTAGGTGGACTCGGAGACA